ACACAGGCTAGTAGAATGGATCACAAAACAAGACCCAACAATATGCTGCCTACAGGAGACGCATTTGATAGGAAAAGACATACATAGGCTGAAGGGGAAAGGTTGGGAAAAATCATATCACTCATATGGACTTCGGAAACAAGCAGGAGTATCCATACTCATATCAAATAAAATAGATTTCAAGCCAAAGTTAATCAAAAGGGATAAAGAGGGACACTACATACTGCTCAAGGGAACCATACACCAACAAGACATAACAATCATAAATATATATGCCCCAAACAATGGTGCAGCTATGTTCATCAAACAAACTCTTCTCAAGTTCAAGAGTCTAATAGACCACCATACAATAATCATGGGAGACTTCAACACACCTCTATCACCACTGGACAGATCTTCCAAACAAAAGTTGAATAAGGAAACTATAGAACTCAATAACACAATTAATAGCCTAGACTTAATTGACATATATAGAATATACCACCCAACATCAAGCAGTTACACTTTTTTCTCAGCAGCACATGGATCCTTCTCAAAAATAGATCATATATTATGTCACAGGGAAACTCTTAGACAATATAAAGGAGTAGAGATAATACCATGCATCCTATCTGATCATAATGGAATGGAACTGAAAATCAACGATAAAAGAAGGAAGGGAAAAGAATACATCACTTGGAGAATGAACAATAGGTTACTGAATGATCAATGGGTTATAGAAGACATCAAGGAAGAAATTAAAAAATTCTTAGAGATTAATGAAAACACAGACACAACATATCGGAATCTATGGGACACATTGAAAGCAGTTCTAAGAGGAAAATTCATTGCTTGGAGTTCATTCCTTAAAAAAAGAAAAAACCAACAAATAAATGATCTCATACTTCATCTCAAAATCCTAGAAAAAGAAGAGCAAAACAACAGCAAAAGAAGTAGAAGGCAAGAAATAATTAAAATCAGAGCTGAAATTAATGAAATTGAAACAAAAGAAACAATTGAAAAAATTGACAAAACTAAAAGTTGGTTCTTTGAAAAAATAAACAAAATCGACAGACCCTTAGCCATGCTAGCGAAGAGAAGAAGAGAGAGAACTCAAATTACTAACATACGGGATGAAAGAGGCAATATCACAACAGACACTTCAGAAATACAGAAGATAATCAAAAATTATTTTGAATCCTTATACTCCAATAAATTAGAAGATAGTGAAGGCATAGATAAATTTCTTAAGTCATATGATCTGCCCAGATTGAGTCAGGAGGATATAGACAACCTAAACAGACCAATATCAATTGAGGAAATAGAAGAAACCATCAAAAGACTACCAACTAAGAAAAGCCCAGGACCAGATGGGTATACAGCAGAGTTTTACAAAACCTTTAAAGAGGAACTAATACCAATACTTTTCAAGCTACTTCGGGAAATAGAAAAAGAGGGAGAACTTCCAAATTCATTCTACGAGGCCAACATCACCCTGATACCTAAACCAGACAAAGACACTTCAAAGAAAGAAAACTACAGACCAATATCTCTAATGAACCTAGATGCAAAAATCCTCAATAAAATTCTGGCCACTCGGATACAAAAACTTATCAAAAAAATTGTGCACCATGATCAAGTAGGATTCATCCCTGGGATGCAAGGCTGGTTCAATATACGGAAATCAATAAATGTTATTCACCACATCAATAGACTTAAAAATAAGAATCATATGATCATCTCGATAGATGCGGAAAAAGCATTCGACAAAGTACAGCATCCCTTTATGTTCAAAACTCTAGAAAAACTAGGGATAACAGGAACATACCTCAATATTGTAAAAGCAATCTATGCTAAGCCTCAGGCTAGCATCATTCTCAATGGAGAAAAATTGAAGGCATTCCCTCTAAAATCTGGAACAAGACAGGGATGCCCTCTCTCACCACTTCTGTTCAACATAGTTCTCGAAACACTGGCCAGAGCAATTAGACGAAAGAAATTAAAGGCATCAAAATAGGAAAAGAAGAACTTAAATTATCACTATTTGCAGATGACATGATTCTATACCTAGCAGACCCAAAAGGGTCTACAAAGAAACTATTAGAGCTAATAAATGAATTCAGCAAAGTGGCAGGATATAAAATCAACACGCATAAATCAAAGGCATTCCTGTATATCAGCGACAAATCCTCTGAAATGGAAATGAGGACAACCACTCCATTCACAGTATCTTCAAAAAAAATAAAATACTTGGGAATCAACCTAACAAAAGAGGTGAAAGACTTATACAATGAAAACTACAGAACCCTAAAGAGAGAAATAGAAGAAGATCTTAGGAGATGGAAAAATATACCCTGTTCATGGATAGGCAGAACTAACATCATCAAAATGGCGATATTACCAAAAGTTCTCTATAGGTTTAATGCAATGCCAATCAAAATCCCAACGGCATTTCTTGTAGAAATAGAGAAAGCAATCATGAAATTCATATGGAAAAACAAAAGACCCAGAATAGCAAAAACAATGCTAAGCAGGAAGTGTGAATCAGGCAGTATAGCGATACCAGACTTCAAACTATACTACAGAGCAATAGTAACAAAAACAGCATGGTACTGGTACCAAAACAGGCGGGTGGACCAATGGTACAGAATAGAGGACACAGAAACCAATCCACAAAACTACAACTACCTTATATTTGATAAAGGGGCTAAAAGCATGCAATGGAGGAAGGATAGCATCTTCAACAAATGGTGCTGGGAAAACTGGAAATCCATATGCAACAAAATGAAACTGAATCCCTTTCTCTCGCCATGCACAAAAGTTAATTCAAAATGGATCAAGGAGCTTGATATCAAATCAGAGACACGCCGTCTGATAGAAGAAAAAGTTGGCTACGATCTACAGTCGGTGGGGTCGGGCTCCAAATTCCTCAATAGGACACCCATAGCACAAAAGTTAATAACTAGAATCAACAAATGGGACTTACTCAAACTAAAAAGTTTTTTCTCAGCAAAAGATACAATAAGAGAGGTAAATAGAGAGCCTACATCCTGGGAACAAATCTTTACTCCTCACACTTCAGATAGAGCCCTAATATCCAGAGTATACAAAGAACTCAAAAAATTAGACAATAAGAGAACAAACAACCCAATCAACAAATGGGCCAAGGACCTGAACAGACACTTCTCAGAGGAGGACATACAATCAATCAACAAGTACATGAAAAAATGCTCACCATCTCTAGCAGTCAGAGAAATGCAAATCAAAACCACCCTAAGATACCATCTCACTCCAGTTAGATTGGCAGCCATTATGAAGTCAAACAACAACAAGTGCTGGCGAGGATGTGGGGAAAAGGGTACACTTGTACATTGCTGGTGGGACTGCAAATTGGTGCAGCCAATTTGGAAAGCAGTATGGAGATTTCTTGGAAAGCTGGGAATGGAGCCACCATTTGACCCAGCTATTCCCCTTCCCGGTCTATTCCCTAAAGACCTAAAAAGAGCATGCTACAGGGACACTGCTACATCGATGTTCATAGCAGCACAATTCACAATAGCTAGACTGTGGAACCAACCTAGATGCCCTTCAATGGATGAATGGATTAAAAAATGTGGCATTTATACACAATGGAGTATTACTCTGCATTAAAAAATGACAAAATCATAGAATTTACAGGGAAATGGATGGCATTAGAGCAGATTATGCTAAGTGAAGCTAGCCAATCCCTAAAAAACAAATGCCAAATGTCTTCTTTGATATAAGGAGAGTAACTAGGAACAGAGTAGGGTCAAAGAGCATGAGAAGAAGATTAACATTAAACAGGGATGAGAGGTGGGAGGGAAAGGGAGAGAGAAGGGAAAATGCATGGAAATGGAAGGAGACCCTCAGAGTTATACAAAAGTACATACAAGAGGAAGTCAGGGGAAGGGGAAAAATAATATAAGGGGGACAAACGAATGTCAGTAGAGGGAGCAGAGAGAGAAGAGGGGAGGGGAGGGAAGGGGAGGGGAGGGGAGGGGGGATAGTAGAGGATAGGAAAGGCAGCAGAATACAACAGACACTAGTATGGCAATATGTAAATCAATGGATGTGTAACTGATGTGATTCTGCAATCTGTATATGGGGTAAAAATGGGAGCTCATAACCCACTTGAATCAAATGGTGAAATATGATATATCAAGAACTATGTAATGTTTTGAACAGCCAACAATAAAAAAAATTTTAAAAAAAAAGAAATCACCAAGTGAAATTATATTGGGGTTTATCTTGGATTTAACATCAAGGATTATCGTGTGTGTATGTGTGTGTGTGTGTGTGTGTGTGTGTGTGTGAGCACGTGCATGCGCAATTGTGTGTGCTAAAATTTGGAGCATAAATATTTACTATCATTATATCTTCTTATTGGATTACTCACTTTGCCAGGATGCAATGGCTTTCTTTGTCTCTTCTGATTAATTTTTGCTTGAAATCAGCATTGTCAAATTAATGGATAGTTTCTCTGTCTTGTTTTCAAACTCTATTTGCATGGAATATTTTTTCCTATCCATTTACCTTCAGCCTGTGTGTGCTCTTGCTTATGAGGTGAGTTTCTCAGAGAAAACAGCATATAGTTTGACCTTGATTCATTCTGCTACTCTATGTCTTTTAATTGGAGAGTTGAGACAATTTATATTCAGTGTGATTATGGATATGTGTTTGGATATGGATATTTTGGATTTTTGTTATATTTAATTTTTTCTTGATTCTCATTCAGCTGATTAGTCTTTGATTGCTCTTCACTTATTTGAGAGTTTTGGGTTTTGTATTGTGATTCCTCGTACTATAATTTATCTTTGAGAATTCTTTGGTGTGGTATGATTTTGATGTATTCTTTTAGTTTTATTTTTGTCATGGAAATTTTTTATTCCCCCATCAAATATGAAAGAAAGTTTTGCTTGGTATGGCAATTTTGGCTAGCAATTATTCTCTTTTAAAACTTGAAATATCAGGCGCAGCGCGGAGCCTTCCGGTTTGTGGGTGGCTGCTCCACCTCCCTCGGAAGCTTGGGGATACGCCCTCTCGAGAGCCTGAGGTCTCCCTCCGTTCCGCATCTAACCCCTCACAATTGCTGCAGGGCAACTGAAGCCCAATATTCTCTCGTTCTGATTTTCGCTTCCTTGAGAACCTCGGCCCCACATTCCCCACTTTACTGGATGATCTGTCCCTTCCCCACCCTCTAAAATGTCCAATAATCTACAGAGGGTCTTCCTGAAACCCGCAGAGGAAAATTCAGGCAACGCCTCACATTGATGGAGTCGCACTCAGTTGCTCAGGATGGTCTTGAACTTGGCTCAAGTGATCCTCCCATTTCAACTTCCCAAATTAGCTGGGATAGGTTGTGCACCACAGTGCCCTGCTTAATAGGCCTTTTGTGTTTCAGGCTGCATGTATCAAGTAGTTCAGACGATTGGCTCGGATGGAAAAAATCTTCTGCAATTACTTCCAATTCCTAATTCTTCTGGAAATCTTATCCCACTAGTTCAATCTTCAGTCATGTCTGATGCTTTGAAAGGGAATACAGGAAAACCAGTTCAAGTTACTTTTCAGACTCAGATTTCCAGCTCTTCCACAAGTGCATCAGTTCAATTGCCCATTTTTCAGCCAGCCAGTTCTTCAAAGTATTTTCTTACAAGAACAGTAGATACAGCAGAAAAAGGTAGAGTTACTTCTGTGGGAACTGAAAATTTTACCTCATCAGTTTCTAAAGTTAAGAGTCATGGTGTGAAAATTGATGGACTCACCATGCAAACATTTGCTGTTCCTCCCTCAACACAAAATGATTCATCTTATATTGTAGTCAAAACCCCGAATCTTCCAATGACTGTGAAGTCTCCAGTTTTGCCTTCCGGGCATCATTTACAAATTCCAGCCCATGCTGAAGTGAAATCCGTACCTGCATCATCATTGCCTCCTTCAGTTCAGCAAAAGATACTTGCAGCTGCAACCACAAGTACCTCAGGAGCAGTTGAGTCCTCCCAAATACCAACAGTTATTTATGTATCTCCTGTAAATACAGTGAAAAATATAGTTACCAAGAACTTTCAAAATATCTATCCAAAACCTGTTAAAGAAATAGCAAAGCCACTGATACTAAATACCACCCAAATTCCATCGAAAGTTGCTGCAGAGACACAATTAAAAGGTGGTCAGCATTCTCAAGCTGCTCCAGTGAAATGGATTTTTCAAGAAAATCTACGGCCTTGTACTCCATCTCTTGTTCCTGTTAAATCTTCAAATAATGTGGCTTCAAAGATTTTAAAAACTTTCGTAGATAGGAAAAGTTTGGGAGATAATACTGTAAATATGCCACCATTGAGTACCATCAGTCCTAGTGGGACACAATCCATAAGTGTGCCAATTAAAGATAATGCTTTGGTTATGTTTAATGGGAAAGTCTATCTGTTGGCTAAAAAGGGGGCAGATATTTTGCCATCACAAATTGACCATCAGAATTCTGTTTCTCCTGATATTCCACTAAGAAAAAACACATCACAGGTAGTGAGTTCAAGTCCAGTCACAGAAATATCCAGAGAGGTTGTAAATATTGTTTTGGCTAAAAGTAAATCTTTACAGATGGAGACAAAATCACTTTCAAATACCCAGCTTGCTTCCATGATTAATCTAAGTGCAGAGAAGAATAAAATGTTCGAAAAATCATCTCTTTCTACCACAAACCCACATAACATGAATCAATCCAGTAACTACCTAAAACAGAGTAAGACTTTATTCACAAAGCCAGTCTTTCCAGATGGATTTAGTACAGGACAGAATGCCCCCAGAAAAGGAAATACGATCCAGAGCATAGAGAAAATAAATTCCTCTGTTGATGCAACAACTGTTACTTCACAACAGTATGTTTTCAGAGACCAAGAATCAAAGATACAGAATGAGATGGCATCAACATTAGGAAAAGTCTCTCAAGGAAGAAATGACAAGAAAGTCTCTCAAGGAAATAGTGTTAAGGCATCATGTCTGAAGAGCGATGCTGAATTTAAAAAGATATTTGGTCTCACTAAAGATTTGCGAGTGTGCCTTACTCGAATTCCTGATCATTTGCACTCTGGAAAAAGTTTTGATTCCTTTAGCAGTGTGATGAAGAGTAGTACTAACACAGAGAAGGTGGTGAAGGAACAAGAGAGAAAACAGGGTTTTAATAAGAAAAGAAAAGCAAAAAACATGAAGAAGATGGATCACACAAAGAAGAGAAAAACCGAGAGTACCTGCAACACAGTCATAAATGGGGTAACTATTGTCACCAGTTCCCAACCCCTCTGCAGTGTTTTACCGACTTCAGACTTATCAAAAAATAACATTCCCACAAGCTGCAGCAAAACCAGAGAAGAAAAGATAACTGAAGTAGAACACTATTCCCACAAGAAGGAGGAGAAAGGTGCATTGAGTTCATATGCAGCTTTTGAACAAAGTAATTTCTTTAATAAAAAATATACTGAAGATATTTTCCCAGTGACACCACCAGAATTAGAAGAAACCGTCCGAGATGAAAAAATAAGAAGACTTAAACAAGTGCTAAGAGAGAAAGAAGCAGCTCTTGAAGAAATGCGTAAGAAGATGCACCAAAAATAATAAAAATGTTATGTACTGAAAGACTTTAATATGAAATAACTGTGTTTTTTAAATAGACTTTTGTATTAGTATATTATTCCACCCTTATCTACCAGGAATGCTTTTCAAATGGAAGGTTCAAAAGTGGAGATAGTACTGAACCCTGTATACAAGCACTGTAATACTGTTGACAGTCACTCTGATAACAGTTACATAAGTGAATAATGGTCAAGTAGCAGATATAGAGTGGATACCCTGGACAAAGGGAGGATTTATGTCTTGAGCCAGGGGAGTGTAAGATTTCATCACACTACTCAAAATGACAGAATTTTTTAAAAAGTTATAAATTATTTCTTTCTGGAATGTTCTGCTTTAATATTTCTGGATAGCAGTTGATGGTGGATAACTAAAATCACAGAAAGCAAAACTGCAGATAAACAGCGGGACTATTGTTTGTTTTTTTTTTGTTTTTTTTTTTTGGATTGATTTTCTAATTTATTTTTTTTAAATTTTTTATTGTTGGTTGTTCAAAACATTACATAGTTCTTGATAAATCATATTTCACACTTTGATTCAAGTGGGTTATGAACTCCCATTTTTACCCCATATACAGATTGCAGAATCACATCAGTTACACATCCAATATTGTTAAATTATAGATGTATTCTGAAAATGAAACCTGTTCATATTCTTTGACAATGAAACCTGTTTTTTTATCAGTTGGTTATAGAATTTAAGAAATACAGAAGAGGGTGATTCATGTATGACTTGTGAATAATATACATGAGTTGTCTGAACCATTTTCTTAGATACCTTTTTCTGGAAGGAAAAAATTTATATTTTTCTATTATTTTAACTGAAAACTTCCCAAGTTTGAATATTTGTATATAAGGTTTTTGTTATTGTTGTATCTTTAGCTAAATTGCTCAGGTGTTACTCCAACAATAGATAATTAGTGTGTACTATTAAAATTTTACAGTCCAAGAGAGGAAATTAGCAGTAAACCTAAATTTACCTTTGACTTTAAAAGTACTCTCTTGGTCTCTTTACCTGTAAAATAACGATAACTTCTACCTACCATTGTTGATTTTTAAAATTTCATTAAAAATATAGTATAGCAGCATCATTTAAGTATTTAACCATTTTTCAAGAGGGAAGGACACCTGTTTTGTAATTTGTCAGTTATTTTATATAATCCAAAATAATATTTGGAATTCAGGCTATTTGATATATTGTTGGCTTAAAGTGATGTGTCTTTAGACAGCAGCACCCCCTTCTCCCTTTATTCCTCCTTTCCCCCCTTTGGTAATATGTACATATGTTATATAGATGGTGTAAAAAGTATCAATACTGTGAAATGTAGTTTTTCTTAATAGAGGAATACATTTTTCTTTTTTTTTTTAATTTTGGAGAGTTTGAACGTAGTGTGGGGATAGAGATTAAGAAGAGAGAAGAATTAGAAAATGATTAGCAAATATGGGGGGATAAGATTTTTAAAAATGTGTCGTGGCAACAACAGAGAAAATAGTAAATCAAAAAATACTGAATAGGATTGAAATAAGTACATCAACTAGACTCTGCTGCCTTTTTATTTTTACAAATAGCTTTATTGAGATATATTTCACATAGCATTAAATTCTCCCTTTTTAAAGTGGTTTTTATTCTGTTCAGAGGTGTGCAACCATCAATACACTTTGAACACAACAGGAACAAGTCCTATACCATAGCCATCACCCCATTCATTATCCCTTCCTGTCTAAGTACCACTGTTTCTGTAAAACTGTCTGTTGCAAACATTTCATCTGCATGGAGTCATACAATATATTTTAGTTTAGTTTAGTTTTGTTTTTACTTGGCCTAATATTTTCAAGTTTCATCCATGTGGTAGGATGCAACAGCACTTCATTAATTTTTGCTGAATATATTTTCTTGTATGAATATATAGTCATCCCTCAATATCTGTGACAGATTGGTTCCAGAACCCTTCCCAGGGATATCAGAATCTTTGAATAATTAAGTTATTTTATAATATGGCATAGCATTTGCTAATAGGCTACTTATCTCCACCTGTATATTTTAAATGATTTCTATATTACTTGTAATGCCTAGTACAATGTAAATTCTATGTAGATAATTGTCCTTATTGTTTAGGAAATATTGAAAAAATAAAGTCTGTATGTGTTCAGTACAGACAAAAAAAAATCCAAATTTTTGATGCATGGTTTGTTGTGGAACCTGCAGACAAAGAGGGCCAATTGTATCACACTTTGTTTTTCCATTCATCTGTTATGGATATTTGGATTATTTCCACTTTGGGCTACTAAAAATGTTGCTATGAATGTTTGTGTGCAAATTTTTGTATGAACATATTTTCAGTTACCTTGAGTATGTACCTAGGCATGTAATTGCTGGGTTATACAGTAACTCTGTGTTTAACATTATGTGGAACTGCTAAACAGTTCCATTCAGTTTTGCTCCCTCTACTTAAATAGATTTTGTCAAGGTCCTCAGTGATTTCCATGTTATTTAATCTTAAGGTCACCTGTCAGTCTTCTTAATAATTTCATAAATCATTAATAACTTTGATAAATATTTAAAACATTTATTACAGAGTAATGCATGTTCATTGTGGAAAAAATTAGAAAATATAGCAAGCTAAAAATCAAAAAAAAAAAAAAACTTGAAATATCTTATTCCAGGCCCTCCTTGGTTTTAGTGTCTGAATTCAGAAGTCAAATGTTAGTCTTGTTAGTTTGCCTCTTCATGTGACATGATGTTTCTGTTATCTTTGAATGTTTTTCTTATTTTCTACTTTAGGCATTTTGATCAGGATGTGTCTTGGAGAACTTTTCTATGGTCAGGTCTGTTTGGAGTTCTGCAAGATTCCTGTATGTGGATGTCTGTCTCCTTTCTGATGTGAAAGAAATTTTCTGCAACTGTAACATTGAAAATATTGTTAATGTCTTTAGCTTGTCTCTCCATATTTTCTTCTGTCACAATGGCTCTCAGGTTTGGTATCTTAATGTCACACAATTATTATACATTCTGATCGTGTTATATTATAATTTTTTCTTTATTGTAATCTGTGCAAACTCAAGTAACCTGTCTTCAAGGCCTGAGGTTCTGTTCCCAAAGCACTAAAATTCTGATTTCTATGCAACATAATCTGTTGGTGATGCTTTCAAGTGAATTTTTATTTGATTCATTGCATCTTTTATTTACAGAAATTCTGATTTATTTTTTTCAATATTTCTATTTATTTACTGAAATGGCCTTTTTTCTCTTATATTTGCTCTCTTAATGAATTCCTTAGATCTTCTTTTAGTTCATTTAACATTTTAATAATCAGTTTTATGATATATCTTTGGAATTTTATCATCTTTCATATATGTTAAATATTTTATTGAAGCATTGTGAACTTTGGGAATCGATTGTTTGCCAGTTTTCTCATGTTTTCGGAGGTCTTGGACTTATGCTTCAGTTGAGGTGCATTCCCTTTTCTCTTTTATAGGTGCTTTTGTTTGTGTAGTTTTTTCTAATTATGGTATTTATCTGGGTTTTATATATGTGTAGATGTCAAGAGAGGAGATCTGAACTTTCCCTCTCATTGTTCACCCTTAAAATCTGTTCTTTGTCTGGGTGATTTTGTATCCCCACTTCTACAAACTGAGTGATGTTTAGACTCAGGTAGAGTTAGATCTTGTGTGCAGTGAGATTCATTTTTGTTTGGCTAGATTGTAAGAATTTCTCTGCAGCAATCTATACTCTGTAATCTTGAAGTGTTCCAGTTATATTCCAGCACGTCCTTGAAGGAGGGGTGAGCTAGGGGTAACCAATGATTGATGCACAAAGATAAATGTCATAACTGTATTCTCCTTGAATGCTGGGTAATAGTCCCTGTGTATATATACTACAGATTATTTATCCATTCATCTATTGAAGGGTTCCATAGTTTTGCTATTATGAATTGAGCTGATATAAACATTGCATCTGTGTCATTATAGTATGGTGATTTTAAGTTCTTTGGGTATAGATCAAGGAGTGGGATAGTGGGTCAAATAGTGGTTACATTCTAAGTTTTTAAAGGAATTTTTATACTGCTATCCAGAGTAGTTGCACCAATTTGCAGTGCCACCAGCCATGTATGAGTGTATCTTTTTCCCCACATCCTAAGCAAGCCTTTGTTGTTTGTATTCTTGATAATTGCCATTCTAACTAGAGTGAGATGAAATCTTAGAGTAGTTTGATTTGCATTTCTCAGTACTAGTGAAGTTGAAAATTTTTTCATGTTTTTTGACCAATTGTACATCTTCTTCTGTGAACTGTTTGTTCATTTCCTTAGCCCATTTATTGACTGGATTATTTAGTCTTTTGCTGTTGAGTCTTTTGAGTTCTTTATATATCCTGCAATTAGTGCTCTATCTGATATGCATGTAGTAAAGATGTTATCCTTCTCTGTAAGCTCTCTCTTTACATTATTGTTTCCTTTGCTGAAAGAAGCTTTTTAGTTTGAATCAATCCCATTTATTAATTCTTGGTTTTTATTTCTTTCATTTTAAGAATCTTGTTGGGACCTAATCTGACATTGTGAATATTTGGGCCTATTTTTGTTCTATTAGGCACAGGGTCTCTGGTCTAATTCCTAGGTTCTTGATTCAGTTTGAGTTGCGTTTTGTGCAAGGTGAGTCAGTGATTTAACTTCAATTTGCTGCATACAGATTTCCAGTTTTCTAAAGCCATATGTTTAAGAGGTTATCTTTTTGCCAATGTATGTTTTTAACACCTTTGTCAAGTATAAGATAACTATATTTAAGTGGATTTGTTCCTGTTTTCTATTCTGTACCAATAATCTACATGTCTATTTTGTTACTATAGGTTTTGTAGTATAGTTAAGGTCTGGTATGTGATACCTCTTGCTTTACTTTTCTTGGTAAGGATTTCTTTAGCTATTCTTGGTCCTTATTTTCCCAAATAAATTTCATGATTGATTTTTCTATTTCTATGAGATATGTTCTTGAAATTTTAATTGTAAATGCACTAAATCTGCATAATGCCTTTGGTAGTTTGGCCATTTTGACAATATTAATTCTGCCTATCCAAGAACATGGGATATCTTTCCATCTTTTAAGATCTTTTTCAATTTCTATCTATAGTATTATGTAGTTTTAATTGTAGAGGTCTTTCACTTCTTTGTTAAATGTATTCCCAAAATTACAACAGATCTAAACCAAGCACATTATAATAAAAGTGCCTAGCATACAGAATAAGGATAGAATTTAAAACCTGCAAGAGAAAAGTTACATATAGGGTGACACCAATTTGAATATGAGGAGATTTCTTAACCCAGTTCCTCAAAGCTAGGAAATCCTGGAACAATATATAGTAACCTCTGGGGAAATAAATGGGTGCCAACCAAGAATCTTATATCCAGCAAAATTAAGCTTCAGATTTGATTGCAAAATAAAAATCTTTCATGATAAATAAAAGTTAAAAGAATATACAAGAAAGCTGACACTAGAGAATATCCTTGACAGAATATTCCATGAGGAGGAAATGAAAATTGGCAAAGTGAGGAACTACACTAAAGGAAAAGCTAATTAAAGGAGAAAGCAACTCAAGTAAAAACCAAAAACAGAACAAAATGTCTGGGAATACAAACCATATTCTAATAGTAATCCCAAATGTTAATGGCCTAAACTCATCAATTAAAAGACATAGACTGACTGATTGGATTTTTAAAAAGACCCAACAATATGCTGCCTTCAAGAGACTCTCATCTTTTAGGAAAAGACATACACAGATTGCAGGTGAAAGGATGGGGAAAAGCATACCACTCACATGGACAACATAAACAAGCAAGTGTTTCCATTCTCATATCAGGTAAAGTGGACTTGAAACCAAAGTCAGTCAGAAGGGATAAAGAAGGACATTGCATACTGTTTAAGGGAATCATACATCAACAAGACATAACAATCATAAATATTTATGCCCCAAACAATGGAGCATCAATGTGTATCAAACAAAGCC